AGTGTGTGTATACTCTGGGGCCCTTCCACTCTCGTTTGGCTGCCTGGTTTGACTACTGCTGCAATACTCTGCTAGGGGTTAATCCCCAAACACTAACACCACTTATAGCAAAAAAAAAAAATTCTTTTTTTTCAAATGTTCAGAAATCTTTAATGTCCCCTTGGCTTTAACTTTCAAGTTTAATTACCTGCTGGTGCCAAAACGGGTTTTTCCGATTTCCTTCTGCTATCACCCTAAGGAAGGAGAGTGAGAAAAAAAAACAACTTTCCCTTTTAACTTTCAACCGCCGCTTTTTCCGATCTTCTTTGGGAACGATATATCTTTAATGAAATTAAAATTCCAGTGTATTTAAATGTTACTTATTATCCCGGTCAGCCAAAAACTTTCACTTCTCAGCTTCCTCCTGCACATTCTTATCCGGATGAAAGCTTCTTTGTGGCGGCCATTGTTGACCGCCGCTCCACCACTTTCGGAAAAGGGAGTTAAGCCAGCTGAGGAGGGGGGTTGCGATTCCCCCGGACCCCTGCTGGATCTCCCTTATCTTCAGTTACCTCTACGGGGTAACTATTAGCCCCCAAATCCGGCTGGATCGGGGGCACTCCAGCGGCGAGCGCAGCAGAAATATATTATTTTAAGTGTTAAATTTAGGGGAAAGATATAAAGGCGTCATACTTCAATCAGTGATTACAGGAGAAATTTTGTGTTAATGAGAAAAGATAATAGATAATTGAAATAGAACAGACAAAAGATACAAGCATAATGATTTAAATTGAGATGAAATAAATAAAATAGAATTAAGAGAGTGAAAAGAGGGGAGAAGCTATACAGAAAATGTAGAATGGTAAATAAGATATGAAATGGTATATAAAGTGAGCATGAATTTGATTTATGTCTGTACAAAAAGATGTAACCCGGGACTAAGCCGCTTTCCAAAAAGAAGTTTTATGTTTTTATGTTTTGTGTTTTGTTTGTGTATGTTTGTTTATTGAAAATTAATAAAAATTTTATATAAAAAAAAAAAAAGGAAGAATAGAACAGGGACGTGGACAAAGTAGAGGTAGAGGAAAACGCCGTGGATATTTAAATCAAAAAGTCATGATCTATGAGCCCCAGGGAGAAGGAAGAGGAAGAGGAAGAGTGACACATCCATATGGATTCCAAGAAAGAGGTTGAGGCCAATTACAAGAACGAGTGGAGGCAGTGGGCTTGGCTGCAGCTGAACAATGGCCTACAGACTGAAGGGGACCAGGTTTAAGTAAAGCCCCCCCAAACCCTTGGTCCAAATGAAGATAGGGGGCAATGATATGACCTTTTTAGTAGACACAGGAGCATCTAGATCTGTAGTTACTAAGTTGCTGGCCCCCTTTTCTGCTGATGTTATAAATATACAAGGGGTTGATGGCTCTGTAAATTGCCACCCTTTTCTAAAGCCCCTGAGATGTTCCCTGAATAGAAGGGACATTAAACATCAATTCCGATACATGTCCAAGTGTCCCATTCCCTTATTGGGCTGGGACATGTTATGCAAAATGGGGGCAACTTTGTCATTTGAGGAAGATAAAATGGCACTAGTCATGAGGCATTCTCCAGATGAGATGTGGCAAGTAATGGTGGCCCAAGAGGTTCAAGTTCTCAATACTTGGCAGGAGTTTGATGTGCACCAATTATGGGCAGAAGATAATCCGCCAGGATATGCAGCGCACCATGCACCACTGGTCATTCAAGTGAAACCTCTGGCAGTGCCTGTTCATCTCCAGCAGAGCAGTTACCCTCGCCCCATTGTACAAGCAATTCAAGACCAAATTACCAAATTTCTAAAGACAGGCATTTTAACAACTATTCAGTCTCGGAATACCCCAATCTTACCTATCCCAAAGCCTGATGGCTCCCTTCGGCCAGCCCAGGATTTAAGAATTGTCAATCAATCAACAATTACTGTCCATGCAGCTGTGCCTAACCCGTATACCCTCCTGAGCCTGATTCCAGCATCAGCTGCCTGGTTTTCTGTAGTTGATTTAAAAGATGCTTTCTTTACTATCCCCATACAGTAGTCAAAAACTATTTGCATTTGAATGGGAAGATCCAGCAACAGGCCAGAGAAAACAATACTCTTGGTCCAAGCTACCCTAGGGATTTAAAAATTCACCTACTCTGTTTGGCAATGCCTTGGCCTGGGACTTAGAAGACTTCCAGCCATGTGAGGAAGGAGATGTAGTACTCCAATATGTTGATGATGTGTTAATAACTGGGCAGACAAAAGAAACTTGTTGGGAAAACACTAACCAACTACTTCATTTGTTAATACATTTAATATATTGTTAATATATTTGTTGATACCGTGCTTCAAGAAAAAAGCCCAGTTAGTGAAACCCCAAGTTAAATACCTAGGTTTCACTATAAGTCAAGGCCAGAGAGCTATAGGACAAGAAAGAAAGGAAGCTGTGTGCCGAATTGCAGAACCAACTAACAGGAGAGAGCTACGGGGTTTTTTAGGAGCAGCAGGATATTGTAGGATATGGATACCGAATTTTGCCCTGCTAGCCAAACCACTCTATGAGTCTACAAAGGGGGGAGAAAGGGAACCCATTGTTTGGACGTATGAACAAAAACGGGCTTTTGAGACTTTAAAACTTGCATTATCCAGAGCTCCTGTCATGGGACTTCCCAACTTAGAGAAATCATTCAATTTATATGTGGACTCAAAGAGTAATTATGGCTCTTGGAGTCCTGACACAAGAAAAAGGCAGCTGGCAACAACCAATTGCTTATCTGTCAAAACAACTCGATGGAGTTTCAAGAGGATGGCCACACTGTCTTAAAATTCTTGCAGCCACAGCTCCTCCTGATAGAGGAAGCTAATAAATTGACTTTTGTACAACCAACTACTATTTATACCAGTCATGCAATTTGTGGAATACTAGAGACGAAAGGACATTTATGGATCACTAACTCTAGAATTTATAAGTATCAAGCTCTACTTATACAAAATCCTCAAGTGATATTAAAACAGACAAATGGCCTGAACCCGGCCACTTTATTGCCTATACCAGGTCCTAAAGTTGAACATAACTGTATGCAAGTGATAGAAAGTCAATTTTCATACAGGCCTGATTTAACTGATGTGCCACTGAAAACAGTGGACCATAATTGGTTTACTGAGGGGTCAAGTTTCATCACAGAAGGAGAATGATATACGGGCTATGCAGTTGTCTCACTTGATAAAGTTATAGAAAGTGGACCACTCTCAAAAGGCACAAGTGCTCAGGCAGCAGAACTGTGGGCTCTAATACGGGCACTAGAGAGAGCAAAAGATAAAAGCATAAACATCTGGACTGATTCTAAATATACATTCCTCACATTCCATGTCCATGCTGCAGTCTATAGGGAGAGAGGACTCATCACAGCAGCGGGGGGAAAAATTAAACATCCTCTTTTGATTGACAGGCTTATAACAGCTGTGAAGGGACCAAAGAAAGTAGCTGTCATGCCCTGCAAAGGACATCAAAAGGGACAGGATGAAGTAGCCCAAGGCAATAGAGCAGCTGATAGAGAAGCAAGGTTATCAGCAACCCGAGATAATCAAGCTTATCCTGACATGATGGCTTATTTAGCATTGGAAATACCAAGAGGACTGAACCCTAGATATACTAAAGCAGAGGAACTACGCATCCGTCTCCACCACAAAAGGACGATGCAGATCAGGGTGCCTCAGGACGGGTTCTGCGACGAAAGCATTCTTGAGGGCCTCAAAAGCCTGTTGCTGCGGGGGGGGGCCCACTGGAACGGGACCTTCTTTCGAAGGAGCTGAGTTATTGGACCTGTCAGCTTGGCAAAACCCAGGATGAAGGTCCGGTAATAGTTAGCGAACCCCAATAGGCGTTGAACGTCCTTCACGCCACGAGGGGGTTCCCAACTACATAAGGCCTCCACCTTACGTGGGTCCATGGCGATGCCTTTGGGAGAGATGATGTGCCCAAGGAACTCAATGGAAGTCTGGAAGAAGAAACATTTCTCCAGCTTCACATAAAGTTAGTGCTCCCGAAGGCATTGCAAAACCAGACGAACGTGTTGAAGGTGGCTGTCCCTGGACCCAGAATAGATCAGAATATCGTTCAGGTACACCACCACGAACCGATCTAACATATCCCGAAACACGTCATTCATCAGGTGCTGGAAGACTGCGGGGGCGTTGGTCAACCCAAATGGCATCACAGTGTACTCAAAATGGCCATATCGGGTGCCAAATGCCGTCTTCCATTCGTCCCCCTCTCGCATCCGCACCAGGTTGTAGGCCCCTCGAAGATCGAGCTTGGTGAAGATAGTGGCCTCCTGCAACCTCTCCAACAACTCCAGAATGAGTGTCAAGAGGTAGCTATTCCGCACCGTGATGGCGTTTAGCCGGCGGTAATCACAGCACAAGCGTAAGTCTCCCATCTTCTTCTTGACAAAGAGGACTGGGGCTGAGAGAGGGGACGACGAAGGCCGGATGAACCCTCGGGCCAAGTTTTTGTCCAAAAAGTCCCGTAGTGTGGCCAGCTCGGGCTCGGACATGGAGTACGAACATCCCTTTGGCAGTGGTACATTGGGCAGAAGGTCCACTGGGCAATCATAGGGCCGATGCGGGGGTAACCGGTCCACCTCCTTCTCACTGAACACATCCGTGAAGTCTGTCAGTTCAGGAGGTATGGAGACGGCAGAGGTAGTGATGTCCTGGCCAGCACAGGTGTGGAGGAAGTGGTCCACGCAGTTCAGACTCGGAAAAGAAATGGCGTTCCGCGACCATGCCACCTGAGGATCATGAATCCTAAGCCAAGCCATGCCGAGGACCAATGGGAAATGGAGGTCTGCGGTGACATAAAAACGGATCGCCTCCTCGTGTTCTCCAATGACTAGGCGCAAAGGCTGGGTGGTGAATTTAATGGGTCCTGCAATAAGTTCCCGCCCATCAATAGTCTCGACCCTCATCGGAGGTTCTACTGGAACCAAGGGGACATCAAAATGGAAACACCCCCTTTCCCCCCACAGCAACCAATCAGAGCGCAGATCCCCTCAGGCGGGATCCTGCCTTCACTCACGAGGAATGAGCGGAAGCACCAATGGGAATTCTCCCTGCGTGAGCGTCATCGGTCTCCGGGCAGAGTCTCCCTGGACTTCACCCGCGAGAGAAGATAGTTCAGCGCAGAGAGAGAAGCGGAGAAAGTGGGAGGGGGAACCTTTTCATTGTTGCGGGGGGCTGCAGCTCAAGGGGGGGTCAGGTCAGCCCTGGAGGGGAGCGTGGACTTCCTTTTGCCCTCCCCTCCCAATCCGGCATGGAGTGGGGCTGCGGTGGAAGAGAGAAGGGGAGGCCGCAGCCCCACAGCCAGCGAGGACTTGGGGGTTGATTGGGGCGTTCTCGGGCACCTTCTCACACACACACACGGTGGGAGTGCCCCTCCCCCAATCACGTGGGGTCATTGTCCTCCCCGCCCCTCCCCAAAGCCTTTGGCTCCCTTCCTGGCAAAGGGGCTGCTGGAGGGCCGGTTTCACCCCCGGTGCTGAGGGGTTTTCTGACCCACCGCAAATGGAAGCTCAATTCTGGTTCAAGAAGGGCGGTTGTTGATCTGAATGTGGGACAAATAAGAGAGGGGGAGAAGCGGGAATCCCTGGCAGAGAATGGTGAAGAGAGCAAAGAAAGTGGAGGGTCCCCTCAGGACCTGCCATAAGAGCAATTGCGTTCTTTTCGCTGATGATGTAAAGCTGTTCAATACCACAGACAATATTGCTACCCTACAAAAAGATCTTGACTATGTATCAGAATGGTCAAACAAATGGCAACTTCAAATCTCAACAAATAAATGCTCTGTCTTACATATTGGCAAAAAAAATCAGAAAATAAAATACAAGCTGAATAGTCAAGATCTTGTTGATGACCCAAGCTCTGTAAAGGACCTTGGAATACTCACCTCTAATGATCTAAGTGCTAGAGCCCACTGCAACTACATAGCCAAAAAGGCATTAAGAGTTGTTAACCTAATCCTACGTAGCTTTTTCTCTGGTAATATCACACTACTAACCAGAGCATACAAAACATTTGCTAGACCAATACTCGAATACAGTTCATCAGTCTGGAACCCACATTACGTATCTGATATTAGCACAATTGAGAAAGTCCAGAAATATTTCACAAGAAGAGTTCTCCACCCCTGGGAAGAAGGGGGCTGGGCGGGGGAGGGAAGCCCTGGAAAACCCTCCGCACTAGATGACCTATAAGGTCCCTTCCAACTCTGATTCTCTGTTATCTGACTTCACGATTGTCATCCCCAATTCGGGTCTGAGCCTGGTGCCGAGGACAAGGAGGCACACCAGACACAAGGTGCTGGTTTTGAATTCTGCGATGGGTTCTCTCTGGTTTGGGTGGAACCGTGGCTAACGTCATGGCTGGCTTCATGAACCGCCAAATCCCACCCCTGGCTGCCTTCTCCCACCCTGCCCCTCCCCGGAGTCTCCACACAGCCCATTTTGGATGCAGGTAAGTGCAGGGCCCGCGCGGAGCCTGGGGAGTGGTGAAAAAACAGGCCTTCCGGGGGTTCTGGGAGGCCACGCCCACTAAGCAACCGGGCAGAGAACCCGTTGCTGGGGATTTTGGAAGCCCACCCCTCTTTTGATTGCTTTTTATTGGAGCACCCCAAGGAAAAGGGCCAAAATGCCAAGAACAAAGGATTCAGAAAGTTTTATACATGTCCACCAAAGGAGGAGGCAGGACAAGGCGGGATAATAAGAAATATCGTCTAATAAACCTTTTAGTAATGCTCTAACGATTTGTTGTATTGGTCTCTAGCTGTCCCTATTCCTGAGCCTTGGCTAATGAATGCCCTATGAGTTATCTCATAGCACATTTAATTTGCTCCAGGCCATCTCTGTTTCTCACTTTTAGCTGAGGCCTGCAAGATGCCTAACTTTCTTACTTTTATCAGCTTTCTAATTAGCCAGGATTGTCACGAGATGTACACATGCGTATTTCCTGTGAATAAGAATTCTTTGGTCTTGCCAGGCAGACTCCACAATTACAGGCTTCATGATTTACTTTCAAGTGTGTGTGTATGACCTGGCTTTATTCTAGTAGGCAGCCCATCACAAGTGCAGCTGACCCTCTTGTATCTGGCTCTATTCAGATAACAGATAATCAGAGTTGGAAGGGACCTTGTAGGTCATCTAGTCCAACCCCCTGCCCAAGCTGGAGACCCTACACCATTTCTGACAGATGGCAATCCAATCTCTCCTTGAAAGCCTCAAGTGATGGCGCTCCCACAACTTCCTAGGGCAACTTCTGTTCAATGGGTTGATTGTTTTCTCTGTCAGAAAGTTTCTCCTTATTTCCAGGTTGAATCTCTCCTTGTTCAGTTTCCATCATTGCTTGTCTGGCCGTTGGGTGCTTTGGAGAATAGCTTGAGCCCTTCCTGCTCTCTGGGGCAGCCCCTCAGATATTGGAAGACTGCTACCATGTCTCTCCTGGTCCTTCTCTTCACTAGACTAGCCAGGCCCAGTTCTTGCAATCTTATGTTTGAGCCTCCAGTCCCCTCATCATCCTCGTTACTCTTCTCTGTTCTTTTTCTAGAGTCTTAACATCTTTTTATAGTAGTGACCAAAACTGGATGCATGACTCTAGGTGTGGCCTTACTAAGGCTTTATAGAGTGGTATTAGTACCTCACTTGATCTAGATTGTGTCCCTCTGTTAATGCAATTTAGGATTGCATTAGCTTTTTTGGCTGCTGTTGCATACTGCTGGCTAATTTATCTATGTTTCTCTAAGGCTAATTTCTCTGTTTCCCTCAGGCTAATTTCTCTACATTTTCCTCAGGCTAATTTCTCTTCCTTTCCTCTTGAGGGAAAAGAAATATATCCATTGAAAAGTTGCAGATAACAAAGCCTAGGAGTGGGCTTGCAGGCCTCCCTGAACCAAAGTTTTAAACCAACACAATTGCAAAATGTACTAGAGATATTTCTAATGGTCTGACTTGTGTGCTATGTTTCTGCAAAGTTATGTACTTGTACGGAGAGATATAGAACGGGCAGAATGAAACTGGGGGAGATGAGGAACTGAAAGTAGCAAATGGCTGAGAGCTTCAAACGTCCATGGGTGTTTACAGAAAGTGACGGTCAATAAGAAAGTAAGAAAGAAAAAGGAAGGGAAACTGGGAGAAAAATGGCTTGAGATGAGAATGGGGTCCTTTGATTTATAGCAGTCCTTGAAGGCCTCCATTGCAATGGTTAGTTAACGTGAGTTTTCTGTGGTTATTGTATCTCCTGCTTCTTTCTTTTGTCCCAAATTGTTAGAAACAATACACCTCTG